TTAATATATTCAAAACGTGTTCATTGAATTTTCAGATCATTATTTTTTTTTTTATCTACCAATCAATGTAATTTTCTTTTATTGCCTCGGGCTGGACAATTATTGGCATACCGTTTCCCCTTCTGATCTGGTACAGGCTAATTTACATGTTTTAGAGAATGCCTGATTTCGTCTTTGCTTAACAATAACACTTGAGCCCAGTGTTACAATATATACAACATGTAAAGAATTTGCATTTAAAAATCATTCACGTATCATTTAAGTCTAGTTACTTTAATGATTATAAATATAAAAATACAAATTTATTATCCCAAAGGTACTGACCCCATATTTGACCTCAAAACGTAAGAAAATGTCTTTTGAATACTGAAGATATGACATTTTTGTTTCTGCTTTTTATCTTTTTTTTTTTTAGATTAAATGAATAAATATTGATATTGTGAAATATGGTAGTAATATATTTACATGAATAAATTTATGTTCTACTAAAGCAATATAAATTATATGGTATGATATGGTACGATATAGGCCTACAGTACGTCACTGGTTTTCAATAATTTATTAGACTAGGGTCAATTTTTAAGTCATTCAACTTGTCGTGGTCGCATACGCCTCTTTAAGGGATGCTGCCGGTGTTTGAATCAATGGCCTCAGCCACACCATGTATACTACGTCGTAGCCTAGTAAACATTAGTGCATCTCTGAGGCCAGACTATGGCAAGCCCCAGCTGTCTTAAGCCTACAAAAATATTATATTATTTATGTTTGCTATTATATTATTTACATTTGTTATTATATTATTTACGTTTATTATTATAATATTTAAATTTATTATTATAATTATTACATATGTTTATTATTATATTATTTATGCCTATTAGTATATTATGTACGTTTATTATTATATTATTTATGTTTATTATTATATTATATTTAAATAATATAATAACAAACGTAAATAATATAATAGCAAACATAAATAATATAATATTTTTTGTAGGCTTAAGACAGCTGGGGCTTGCCATGCTAGACACTCATATCTTTTGTTTTGGTGGCTCTCGCAGTCGTTGCATCAGAATCGTATCAGCTGATCCGATTACGTCACATAGGAACGTTGCTCCCAGCTCATGGCATGATTCTTATACATGAATGGATATGCTCGTACGATAGATTTATGCTTGGTTTATTCGTTTGGCTGTTCACCAACGTCGAGTGTGTAGTTATTATTGTATGTTCAGCGAACAAACCCAAAGGCCAACTTGAATTCAAAACAGTATTGTTTAATAGGCCAGGACTTTTTTGCAGTTGAATCTCACCTTCAACAATCTCTTGTTTGGATAAGTATGATGATATTTTTCTTATGCCAAATTAGTTTTATATTTATTAGTGAAGATATTTCTCTTGCATTTTACAAGTGTTTGTGGGACGGGAGAGTGGTTTGTCAGTGCGGCTACTATCTGCATCGAACACCAATTTCTATCGGCATATTCCAATTTTATTTCGAATGCTTTTCTTGGAACTTTTTATATAAAGTAATCGTTTATACTTCACCATCTGTTGCTATTTTAAAAGCAGACATAAAAGATTAACATCCGACTTGGACAGCACGTTGAATGTAGTGGATCATTGACGCTTTATAAATGTTTATTTATTACATGTTCATATTTAAATTTGCAATGAGGCCTATATATTATTCTTTTATTCCTAATTTTATCAAGTACCAGTAGTTTGTGTTTAACCTACAAGTTTAAAAGAGAACTAGCAAAATGATTTTTTGTTCTCGAGGGTAATTTTGATATGCCATTAATAATAGCATGCACGCAAAGATCGTACGCGGTGGATACCCTACGCGGCGCTATATACACAATCTTTTGTTACTTTTTTCGCCAGTGACGTCACGGTAAAATCGTATATAATGGCCTATAACTTCATAAACAATTGCCAAATAATAATTTTAAGGTTGATTCTATAATCAATTCTATAATCAATGGCATATCTAAAATCTTCTATAAAACGAAAGATCATTTTGCTAGTTCTCTTTTAAGACGAGCACTCACTACGCCCGGTGCACGCAACGTGGCTGGGGTGACCGAAGTGCCAGTTGGGACATAGTATGTTCCGAGGGAAGAGTGGTCTTTTAGTCTATTGAGTAAACTCCGGAGTTTATTCATTTTAGTCTGTTATCTTAATAGTTTAGTACTTGACTATTTTAGGCCTAGAATTTTTTTTACTTTTTATTTAATTTGCTGCTGAGTATGTCCATGTTGTGTCAAAGTCATAGTCAAAGTCAAAGACTATTTATTTATCCAACAGGAAATTGCATTGCTCGTAAAGGGCAAGACGTTACACAATGACAAAAATATGAATATGATTATGTTCTAAGAAACATGACACTGTTCAAATTCTCATCTCATGTCTTCTACCCGCATATTTCCTGCTGTATTTGTTGTGGTTTCTGGTGTTAAATAGTTAAACTAGGTTAAGCATGGAGCTATAAAATGGGTTAGACATATGACTGTAGCGTAATGCAATCCATGATGAATTTAATTAGGCTTAGGATAAAACATAGAATTGTTTTTATTTATGTATTTATTTAAGTCTTTGTAAACTATGCTGTATTGTTTTGGACGCACATTCTATTGAGAAGTGTGCAACTGATGAAAAAGTGTACTTCCTATATAAATAATTATTATTATAAGAGTCCGGGTACTTTATCTGAGTTTAGTCATATATGAAGTGAATCGAAAATGCACATGAATAATTATTATGTTCATAATGATCTTGCGTAAGAATCGACGTAATTCTTACATGCTCAATAATGTGGTTAATCATTAACATCTTTAAATTACTATTCATTCATATAGCCTAAGGCATTGGGACGAAATCACGACAAAAGCTATTTTAAAAGCAGACATAAAAGATTAACATCCGACTTGGACAGCACGCAGTGAATGAATGTAGTGGATCATTGGCGCTTTATAAATGTTTATTTATTACATGTTCATATTAAAATTTGCAGTGAGGCCTATATATTATTCATTTATCCCTAATTTTATCAAGTACCAGTAGTTTGTGTTTAACCTACAAGTTTAAGACGAGCACTCACTGCGCCGACGCACGCAACGTGGCTGGGGTGTACCGAAGTGCCAGTTGGGACATAGTATGTTCCGAGGGAAGAGTTGAAGTGGTCTTTTAGTCTATTGAGGCATTGAGGAAACTCCAGAGTTTATGCCTAAGGCATTGGGACGAAATCACGTGGCACATCTTATTCATTATATTTTAATTTTATTACGAGATCCTGTTGAAGGTAGCTTAATGCTATGGTTGAAAAAGTAAAAAAGCTCAAGACTTTTCTGAATCTTTGTTGAACCATAGACAGAGATTAATGTATATTTTTGTTTTGAGATTAGTTTTTTACCCGAGTACAGTATTTTTTAAATAAACACGAAGCTCCTTTATAAAGTAATCAGCTTTTCTATTACAAAAGAACTTTCGTGCAATTCACGAAGAATAATAAAGTGATGCACTCGCGTTGTACGTCACAATTAATTTGTAGTCTATTTTATCCTGTATTTTAACTAAAAGCTTCAAAAGCAAAACGCAAAAAAATGTTTACGCAAATGCAAGAATTATTGACGCAATACAAGAATTATTGACGCAATGCAAGCGTGTTGTTCAACGACTAATGTCTCCCGTCTTGCGAACGACAGGTCAGAGTCATGAGTAAACTTTTGCATGTGCGTTATTCTTCGCCTAATTTAAAGAATAAAATCGAATGTGGTAAATGGTGTAGCCTCGAGCAGTTTTTTTTTTTTTTTTTTTTGCGTTTGCGTGGTAAGTCTGAGTATTTTTCCTTGCTAATTGCGTCAAACGCGTCTAAATTGTTCTACGCGCGAGAAATAACCTCAATAACAAGCAACCATTTCATTTCAAAACATTTTTTGATGGAACTAATGTGACTCTTATTTGTAATTCTATTTGCATGATATTTCTGGGAAGAGATTCCCATGGGTACAGGCCGATCGATTTGATCGTTTTGTACGATACCTTATAGCCTATTGGATATGCCTTATGTTCTACGAATACAGCTTTACTCTAAGGAGTGAGAGGAAATTGCTGGTTGAAAGGTTAAAATAATACTCGATCCTGTAACGGATAAAAGTGAAAATATTAGTTATAAATTTACTATAAATTATATATATAAGGCCTGTCTTCATAATTATTATTTTTACGTTTATTAATTTATCTTAATCGACATATTTAGAGCCTACGATTTTATTAATGGTTTTCATGATTGTTATCACGTTTTAATTTTCTATACATAGCATTTACGAGATTCAAAACATTTTTATCCACGTAAACGTTCTTATGCATAATGGTAATAAGTGATGAATGTTTCGCTGACTCATTAATGCACATAAACCGTAACATTGTATCTAAATTATGTTTTTCATAATTATAGAAATGGCACCACACAACGAATGCAACCGAGCGGAGCTATTATCAACGTCAGGGGATCAGGTTATTGAGGGCGTCGCTAGAAAACGCCATCACAGTGACATCGTCTGGAGGAATGTTCTAATCATGGGGTTCATCCATCTTAGTGCCGTATATTCGTTCTTATTCGTGACTTGGAAATGTCATTGGCTTACGTTAGTATGGGGTAAGGTTGTTTGTTCACCAAGTGAATGTGAATGTATTGACTCAAACCCCGGGTCCGTAGCAAAATGTTCTGGTGGTTTGATTGGGAGGCACGGAATATGAATGAGAGAGACGGCCACGAATCGGTAAGGTGTTATTAAAGATATGCTGTTTAGCAAAAAAAAAAAAGTTTTAAATTTATTAAACACTTGATGGCTCATTTGAAAATATCAAATATAATATATTTTTATTACCGACTAATTTCAGGATCTAAGCATAGTTCATATAGGCCCTATGGATTATTTATTCATGCATCCTTCAATTAATAAAGCCTGACAACGCGTCGTACACCCATGGTGGTGTTATAGTTCACTATAATACCTCCATGGTACAGCGAATCCAAGTCCGCTCCCTGTGTGCGCTAGACGACGCCCGTCGTCGCGTTGTGTTATAGAATCGCGACGGCCGACAGACCGCCGGGCACAGTGAGTGGCCGGCTTAAGTCTCTTCTCGTGGTTTTAAGTGTACATGATTTATCAAACGTTCAAACGGATTATACTTTTCGTTGCAATTTTCTCAGACCCTTTAACCGGTATGCCATTGAATGCCTTGAGATTTGATAGTCAGGTGCCGTTAAAAATGCTTAAAGGTCTCATAACCGCGAAAATATTTTCTTATAATTTTGCAATTGAAAGCCAAGGCCTTACTTGGACTTTATATAGGCCTACTATTCGAGCACTTCAAATATTGAAGTTTATTGTTCAAGATTATAAGCTCAACACAGTGTATCTTTAAGCAAGATTTGAAATAAAGAGTGAAAATGAGAGGCGGATTGAAAATAAACGAATAAATACATACAGTAATTTAAAAAAAAGAGAGGGAAAAAAACTTCAGGAAAGGGTGGAATTGAAGAAAAAAGATAAGAGCTGCAGATTATCTTCCTCTGGGAATGGGCTCGCTATTAAATATTGTCATGCAGACGATCTATCCTGTCTACATTTGTCGGCTACTGACTTTTAGCAAATATTTTTTTCCCTTTTAAGCTGTCATCTTGTATTTACTGAATGGTCTTGGTATAACGGCTGGGGCACATAGGCTATGGGCCCATCGAAGCTACAAGGCAAAGTTACCTCTGAGGATTTTTCTTGCCGCATGCAATTGCATTGCATTCCAGGTGAGACATACTTCTGATGCCTTTAATTATATGGCCATAACGCAAACTGATATCATAATAACCCTGCAATGATTATGTCCCTACGCTTGTTGAGGTCATGGTCTGTACATTCTTACATTCTTACCAACCGTTAAAATATAGAACTCTTCAAACGCAAACGCAAAATAATTAACGCAAGCTCGCGAGGGAATTGACGCAAACGCAATATAATTTATGCAAACGTAACTCGGTGCTTTTTCCAGTATTGCCCCTTGTATGGGCGGCCATTATGTCCGTACTCTCGCACTAGCTGTGTCGAGACTTATACATGCGTACACGACCGTGAGCGCCGACCAACGTTTGCATGCGTAAACACCGTGCGCAATTAATCTGTTTTAGTGCTTCGCCACAGGGCAACTGGTGGTGCGTGTAATGTGGAATTTTTGGCGTTGGTCTATGTATTTTGTACATTGATAAACTCTAAAATCGATTAAATAAGCCTTTAAAACCCCTAAATTGTCAAATTTTCGGGGGGTTACGTCCCTTGGACCACTTTCGAAAGCTTTTCAGCAACGCTTGACCACGCCCACTTTTTTCTTGTCGGGGACATCAGCCTCCACCCCTCCCCCCCCCTCCTGTCTCTTATACACATCTCTGCTAGTGTGAAACATTGGAGGATCTTTTGTGTGTGGAACCCGGTTTTCTCGTTTTACACGTCACAATTTACTTGTCTATTTTGGTATGTTTAGAACAAGTACCGTATGTTTCCAGTGTGCCTATAATCGTTGGATGATTTTGATAAGTGGTATCGAAAATCCCCGTGAACGAATTAAATAGAGAACATAGAATTAAGCTTTGTCCAGGTTATCAAACTCTATTTGACAAAAACTGTTGCATGCCCATATATAGGCCTAGTCATGTGCCTATATATTATGGCCATGATTTGATGTCATCATGACCATATTTAATGTCACATGTTTTGTCAAATACAATCTGAGACTCTGGACAGGGCTATATAGCCTGTATACAAATTTCACAAATAAAATATTCTTACGATTATCGTTTTTTACACAATGGCAAGCAATTTGACGCTGCGAAATCCAAATGGAACCAAAGTAGGTCTCTATGGTTTGAATTTGGTTTGTATGGTATTGTATAAAGGCAGCTTTATATTTCATGAAGCGCCGCGGTTTTTTTTTTTTTTTTTTTTTTTTTTTTTTTTTTTTGCCTATTTGATCAACCCATGACGTATTAGATTAGAGCTATGGTAAAACGAATGGATTTTTTTGTTTTAATAAATCATCGGGAATAACGGCAGCATAATTGCGTAATGGTTAGTGAAGGCACATTCCAACGTATGGATAGGCACTTTCGACCGGTAAAATAAGTCACTAGACGTACAACAAGGTTAACGCGAAGCAAGACGAATGATAAAATAATTACTATATATTAGTATCGACCTTGTATACAAGAATGATTTCAACAATAAAAGAGTTGGGAAAACGTTTTGTATTGTTACGGTGATTATTTCAATCTGGATTTATTGAATAAGTAGGCTTAATTGCGCAAGAGTATTGCAGAATGAATTCTATCTTCCATTATTTGTACAACAGTTAGTATGGTCTTTGTTTTGAACAATTATTTAAAGACGATGCTGTCACTCAGAAACTTAGGAGAAAACATTGAATCTCACAATTTAAGTTATCACATGAACTTTCTCATCGCAATGAATCAAACTCCGCTGCCAGTGAGCGCGCTAGACGACAAGAAGTTGATGCTGATTGTCGGCGGCAGTCTGCACGACCGTCAGACGCAGTATGTGCCCGGCTTACACTACAAGACAATAACCAATTTTCGTTTGATTTACATAAATTTTCCGGCGTGTTAGTTTTACCATAAAAAAATGTCAGTGGCGGATCAAGGAATTTGAAATAGAGGGGGCCCAGGGAGACATACCATTGATAAACTGTAAGACATGCCAAACTTCAAAACTTCATTACTATTATTACATTATTATAATTACCTCAATTTAAAAAAAATGACATCAAAATATTTCAAACGGACTCGATGGTTAAGTGAAGGGGTGCTAACTCGCATAATAAAGTAATAGGTGTTTTTTTTTACCACTTGAGCGTGATTTTTTTTTGGCTTCGAACATTAAGGTCGATATTTGTATAGCTATCGAACAGCAGTGGCAGATCCAGGAAGGGACTTTCAGAGACGGAGGTTATGACCACTCAGCCCCACCATGGTTTGGGCTGAGTTAGAGACAATATATGATTTAGATGGACGGAAGTGGCACTCTCAGACCTAAAATTAATTAAAATGTTCCTTTTTTTCTCTCCATATTTTAATAGTTGACAAATTTAGGGGGACCCGGGCCGGCTCGCCCCACCCCCTCCCCACACACCCCTTGAATCCGACACTGACTAGGCCTATTCATTTATCACCGACGTTGCAGTTCTTAACCGTCATACAGACCTACTTAGCTTCAAGCCTAGTCTCAAGAAGCTGGCGTGACACTCACGCATTTTGGGTCTTTCTCACAGTCTCACGCTTATAAGGACCAATATCTTGAATTTGTATTGCCATATTAAAAATATATGTATACTACGGTATTTGTCTTATTTGTAGCTCTCTTACTAAACATCTTTATTTACAATTCTTAAAATAGGATTGGGTTTTGTAAATATCAGTCGTGGTTTCCAAACGTCTTCTTGCAAAGTCTAACTTGGAATTTCTGTTCATATTTTGATTTGCTCTGACAAATTGACGCCATTAATATTGTTTTGGCTGATCCTGTCTAAAATGAATAACCTATCATTTCATCCTGGTCATGACATTATCATTGAATCCCTCGTTAATATTATATTTCTGATTGATTCTAGGTTATGTTCAAATGTGATGGAGCAACTGCCCTTGTAGCCTCGTACGCGCTTCGCTACCGTTTTAAATATACTCATATTGATGAAACAAAGGGTAATTAATAAGCATTGGCCCAGGACAATTGGCCACATCAACACCTTTAGAGCTGAGAAATGAGGGGTCACAGAGGGGTCTGACGGAAAAACATGTCCATGTCTGTCCCTTTCGACCAGAGTGGATAATAAAACGAAGTATTTGACAAACGTGTACGATATCCAATATTAATATTCGTCTTAGAAAAATGTCACCAGACACGGTGAGCCGAAAGACGACAATAGATTGGAACACCGTTTTCTGAAAAATTCGGTCTAAATTATATTCACATGAAGACTAAAATTACGGGTTTGAGCGCAAAAAAAAAAAAAATATATAGGTCTATGATAGTGAAAAAAACCACAAAAGCTGCTCTGATAGTGATATGAACACCAAACAGAAATGGAAAGTACCTTCCAAGAGCAACATGAAGATGTACAATCACGTAACGGCAGATTTTGTCATTTTGATAAATATTCAGATTCAGATATTCAGATTCAAATATTGCCATAAAAAACAATTTACTTAGGTTGGATGGGATTCCATTACGGCCGTCAAGTGGTAAAAAAAAAAATCAATTAAAAAGGAAAGGTGTGGTTTACATCGATCACCGTACGAGAGCAGCGAAAATGAACAAAATCAAAACAGATTTCGTGCATGTGCTGCTATCGTACGTTTGACATAGAGGGCGGTAGAAACAAAAAAATACATTGAAAGACTGACCTCATATTATCATCATAGCTGGATTGCTAATTGGCCGGTTTTAGTGTATCCCAAAACGTTAATTAGGCCTATACGTCATCAACATCACAGCGTAAAATTTGAACCGGCGTGACGGGCACCAACAATGTGACATCGCTTGCGCTTTTGTAAACTGGACTAACAGCAATCTACAGCATTGCAGTGCTTTGAAATTGCGCATGTTGTGCTTATTGAACATTAAAAATACCTTAACTTATTCAAGATGCATCTTTCGTATTCGAAGTAATAAGGCAATGTATTGATTACGTTAAAAATATCATGATATCGAAAGCTTGCGTTTCAATACAATATTTAGGAAGTCTTTAATTGTTTTAAACCTATTAAAGGAAGGTAGGCCTTATGTACAATAAATCTGATTTGTTTTACAAACTCATAATATTCCGTTTCATTACTCATAAACAGAATAGTATATTTGAATGGGCACGTGATCATCGCGTACATCACAAGTACTCTGAGACGGACGCCGATCCCCACAATGCAAAGCGAGGGTTCTTTTTCTCTCACGTTGGTTGGCTACTGGTTCGTAAACATCCTGACGTCACTAACAAAGGATCTCGTCTGAAGATGGATGATCTGTTGGCAGATCCTGTCGTACGAATCCAGAAAAAGTAAGACTTAAAGACCTTTCATATATTAAAACAATTATATTTATTTATTTAAAATCATTTTTTACAGGATAACATAATTAGTGATTGAATGTTTTCACAGAAAAAGTAAGATTGAAATAGGCCTACCTTCATGTATTAACATCATTTAATTAATTAATTTGAAATCATTTTTAAAAAGGATAACAAAATCAGTGATTAACTGTTTTACACTGGTCCTGTTTGTTTGTTGTAAAAAAATTAATTTAATAAATGCAATTATTAATACACTAAACTGTAGACCTATGATTAGAAACTAAATTAAAATGTAATTGACCGTAAAGCATTATTTTGGTAAATTTATGTAATATAATTATACATAATATATGTATTATATTACATAATTATACATAATTTGGGTATAATAATTTGGGTATAATTATATTACATAATTATACATAATTATATTATGTATAATTATATTGCATAAATTTAAATAAATTAAATTACGTTAAAACGTAACATTATAGGCCTATTACATAAAGAAAAAACATATAATTATATATAATTATATTATATTGAGAAAAGAAATAATATAGCTTCTGAACAAAAATTACATACACCTGTCTATGGATATATCTTGTAGGTACTATTTCATCCTCATGCCGCTTATGTGTTTTGTATTGCCAACGATCATACCGACACTTTGGAATGAATCTTTATGGAACGCCTACTTCGTTGCTGCCGTTCTACGTTACTGTATCGCATTGAATTGTACTTGGATGGTGAATAGCTTTGCTCACTTTTGGGGAAATAGACCATACGATAAGTAAGTACGCCACCTACGATATACCTTTTGTTTATTGAAATTTCTACCGCAACAGACTGAAAATATGCTTTATACGCTACCATGTGTAGAGTTCCTTTATAGACAGGAACTCTAACCACCCATGTGGGGGGAGGGGTGGGGTGCCCTCTTTAGTAATTGAACTTTTCATCGTTATGGCGTTGTTCCAACAGGCTGTTGTAGGACACAAACTTTAACAGTCCTATACAATGATTCATTTAAAATACAGTTACTGTATAAGAAATAGGCCTTTATCCTATTTTTGTAAACAAAACTTGAGAAAACAAAGCTATAGAAAACATTCTGGAGCTAAAAATCCGGATATTTCAAAAAAATGCATGTTAAATCGTAACATTATAGGCATATATAACATACAGAAAACACATAATCAATTTTACTTTCCTAAACCTTGAAGTATAAATTGAATTTTTTTTTAACAATTTTACTTTATTTGGTTATAATGTTATTGATTTTCTTCAAGGCATATCAACCCAGCACAGAACAGTTTTGTAGCAGGCTTGTCTCTCGGCGAAGGCTGGCATAACTATCACCATACCTTTCCAAACGACTACCGCACAGGCGAGTTCGGCTGGAAGCTCAATCCAACCACGATGCTTATTGACTGTATGTACGTTCTAGGCCAAGCCTACGATTGCAATGAGATCAAACATGAAGTCATTGATGCCCGGAGACGTCGGACAGGAGACAGAAGCTAGGAACAGATAGAATACTGTAGGCCTAGCATTTTTATCCTGTTTATATTTTATTTCAATATCTAGAATAGATTTATATTGACTCATATTTGTCAGTCTTCAAGCTGAGTTTCCGTTATCTTAAAATATTAATAATAATTATGTACAAAACAGATTTCAGTATTCAGTCAGTAGAACAACTTTTGTAAACATAGTCGTAACTGTTATTAAAATGACCGATTATGTAATTTCCGCGTTTAAACAATAATAACGACAATTACTGCTAATATTTATGGTATCGATAATGATGATGACAATAATAATATTAAAAACTATAAAATAAAAGTATAGTAATGATGAAAAAGTGATAATGATTATAATAATAATAAAATAGGGCTAATGATGATGATTATTGCGATGATCATAGAGACAAGCATGATAACGATTAACGTTAACTATATAGATAATTATAATAAATAAAAGTAATAATAAGTATTCCCCTTCATCCACAAAAGTATTATGTTATATTTCGTTTATTTATTTGTCGACGCATAAGAGGAATTTTAAATCAGTTGTTTAAATTGCAGGCATAAGTTGTAATCAATTTGATAGTACGGTAATGAGGATAATTAATAATCTATATGATTATTAATTTGTAATATTGTTAATGAGGACTGCAATAATAATAGTATTACAAATACGGATGATTCACGATTAAAATAAAAATTAAGATAATTATTATGAGTATAAGAACATAATAATAATTGTAGACAATTATAAAGATAGCATGCTAGTAATGAAAAAAGAAACATTTGAGCAGATGTTGGAATCAATAAAATACGCCTAGCGAAAGAAACACCATATTACTATTTGATTATTAAATCTCTTTAGTTAAGTGCGTTTGTTAATGCTGGCGTCGTGTATAGGCCCGCTGCTAGAGATTGTGAACGGTCCGCAGCTGAGAAGTGATTTTGCGTACCATGATTGGTTGGAGGTGGTCCAGTAGCCTATAAAGCAACACGTACATGCGCCAGTACACTATAGCCTGTACTGCGTTAGTCCAGCACATTTTACGATAATGACGACGATGAAGATGACGATGAGAAAGATGATGAAAATGATGATGATTATGATACGATGTTGATGATGACAATGGCGATGCTTATATTTATTTATTTACATTCACAGCGACAAATACACAATAAAATATTTACAATGAGATAAGGTTATAACTGGTGACGGAAAAGGTCATAGGCACATCTGATAGCGTTGTATACCGAATTGCACAGGTAACATGATATAAGGGCCAATGGCCTATATTGGTGATGAATGAATCCCTATTTAGGGGAACGATGAACTGAACTAAAGAAAGAACCAAGAATATAACATTTTAAAATGTAACAACTAAAATTTGTAAAATGGAACCAAATATACATAAAATAACTATAAAACATTCTCAATAAGATACTTTCAGAAAGTGCACATAACAAGGATTACGATGACGAAGACAATGACGATGATGATGATGATAATGACGACGATGATAATGCTTTTACTTCTATAGCGCAAGCTAATGAGGTCCCTATATCCTTCAACACCTAACAAAACCGAAGAACATACCAAACATGTAAAAGCAAATGAAAAAAAAGATGAAGGTAGAATATCAGTCTAGCTACCAAAGTCCATGCGCTTATATCTGGACAACAGGCTAAGTAGAGAAATGCTTAGAAGAGTAAAGAAATTTCCCTTGCGGTAACAAGACCTAAGGATTTCTAAAACCTTGAAAATGGCATGCCAACTGGGTTATGAAGAAGCAACAAACGTAATTACTAACAAACTACAGTATGCTTCACTTGATGCCTAAGGTCTATCTTGGCCATCCACAGCAGGGCCGTCGGAACCGCACCGGCAGCACCGGCTTTGGCCGGACCACTTTTTATCAATTTTATTACTTTTTAAAAATAACTATATACTGATACTTATAAATTATATGAATTAAGCTAATTATTAATGTCTTTTTAATGTTATTACATTTAAACAAAAATCCACCATGCACTTGTTTTTGTATTGTCTATGTACACTTTAACTTTTAACTTTTTTTGACTGCCAGTCCTTAAACTTAGTAATTAGCCTGAGATTGATTTTGAAAATGTTTAAAATAAATATAAAATAACTATTTATACAATTTTGGGGGTTGGAGTCAGGCAAATTGTCGTCACCACACGAAAGTATAATTCGTCAAGCCGTCCCTAATTACATGCAGTCAAAATGTATACCCCTAAAGTGGGCCATTCATTTTTAAGTATGCATGTGGCCGATGCGATTCCGACGTAATCGGTATAAGGCCTAACATAAGCATACACAGCACTTAATGAAAAAAAAAATTATCAAGTAATTGCTGGGCGTGTGCCCCCCCCCCCCAAGCAGCCCTATAGATACGCCACTGTCCAGGACGACCCGAGCATCTTTAAGCTGTTCTAAATCGATTTCAAGGAGTGTTTGTTTTTAATAGAGCCACGTACAATTTGAGTTTTAATGTACACTACGTTTAATTTGAGCACCCAAACTATAATGTACACAAACATTTCATTACTTAAACTAACAAAAAATGCATAGGCCTAGGCATACTGATCGAATTTTAGTAACGCGTCAGTGAATTAAGTATTCACGTAAATGCTTTTAATGACTCAAGTTATTTCATGACCGTTTTTATATTTTTAATAAAACCAATTTCTGTTTTCTGCAAAATGCGTGTTTCAACCAAAATCACTTTGAAAGGCGGGACCGTCCCGCACGATGCGAGGCGGTTGGTAACTATGTCTTGAGTCATACCGTACTATCTCCATGCTATCTTGTGGCTGTCTCCTAAGAGAGAATGGTACCGTCTATTCAGGCTGTCAGCATCTATTTCCGGATATTTAAAAGTTCTAAAAAAGTTGTACACTTCATGGTGAGGGCAGGGGTGGATATGCTCTCAGACCCCACTAACTTTCAATCATGTATCCGTGGAATGGGGTGGCAATTTCGAAACCAAACGGCCGGACCACTTTCAAAATGCTTCCGACGGCTATGCACAGGAACGGAGAATTCTGAAAAGATCATAAGGACTCGACATCCAGATTCGTAAGCGCGAGTAACTTGTTGAATTGACTATACACTTCACTTATGAAACCACCTAGCATCACCAGCTCGCAGGCTTTGAGAGGAAGAAGAGTCTATCATTCCTAAAGCAGAGTGAGATGACGTGTGATTTCCAAAAACATTTCTTCACTGGTTTTTGCAGAAATATACTACTTCATGTAAAGTCAAGATATCTGTTTCATGACTTTTCATATAAAGCGAACTTTCAAACTACAGAATTGTGTTAGTTTTTAGTCTTTAATCCATTATAAAATAAAGTACTGTGGTTAATTGATATACAAACAAAATCATTTAGATTCAAGTGTCTGTGGCCTGGTAGATTTATTTACCGTTAACGGAGTGCAGTCTCCCTGCGATTCTTTTTATCAATAGCGTTGTATATCATATCTTTCAAAAAGTTTCAACAAACAATAAGTAACTTATTTCGTCATGTTAGGCTTATAGTATGAATCAGAATGACCGTAGTGAAGAGGTGATCTATTTTGGTATGTTTAGGCCTAAATATATACAGCATGACACATTTCATAATGTTAATTTTATTGATTCCATTATTATTATTATTATTATTATTATTATTATTATTATTATTATTATTATTGTTTTTTGCTTTTTTGCAGTCACTGTAATATTCTTTTTTTCTTTTTATTGTTACAGTTTGCTATTACTCATTACTATTTAGTATTATTTTTGATATTGATGCCTTTTGTTATTATTCCTAATATTTTTGCAGTTGGTATTATAATTTCTTTTATTATTATGATTATTATATCATTATCGCGATTATTTTTTTTTTAATCATTACCATTATACTATATCATTATTACATGTTACGCATAATAGGCCTATGGTGGATCAATCAGAAAACCAAAGGCTTATTTGATCCTCCATCCTTTTGTTGTATTCTCCCATTTTTGCTCACTATGGTCAATTTTCTTTTCTTGTAATTTTTTTTCTATAGGCATATACTGTTTACCTAGATGTTCAAAACGATAAAATACCAGTCTTCTGATATAACAAGTATATCTGAATGATTAAGTTAAGTCATGGACTTTGACAATTGATCTATTTTGGTACTGTATGTTTATACCTAAATATAATACAATATGATCTAAATATAAAATACCAGTCTTTTGTTATTGAGTATATTGAACATTTTCTTTAAATGATACGACAACCTATGAGGTTAAGTCGATGTACTTGAACAAACGATCTATTGGTACTGCATGTTTAGGCCTAAATATAATAAAATATGTTCTGAATTTAAAATACCAGTCTTTTATTATTGAGTATATTGAACATGTGAATGATACAACGATCAGTGCTGTCAAGTCATGAACTTTGATAATGAAGTGATCCATTTTGGTACTCTATGCTTAGGCCTAAATAATATAAAATATGATTTAAATTTACAATACCAGTCTTTTTTTATTGAGTATACCGAACATTTTATCTGAATGATACGACGACCAGTGAGGTTAAGTCGATGATGTACTTGGACAAGTGATCTATTGTACGTTTAAGCCTAAATATAATATTGATAATGACAGGGGTGGCACCAGAATTTTCCCGACGGGGGTAAGAGGTCACTGGTGGGGGGAGGGGTACGACGTCCCCACGAGGGGGATGATTTCCCAGACGAGAGCAAAGTGGGCGTGGTCAAGCGTCACTTAAAATGTCTCGAAAGCGGTCCCCCGGAAATTTTGGCAATTTAGGGGTTCCAAAGGCTTATCCTATTTAATCGATGTTAGAGTCCACTAATGTGTACAAAATACATATAATTTTTTTCCCTCCCCGACAAATTGTGTCGCCACCCCTGGAAAATGAGTTTATTGAACATCTGAATGTTACGACGGTCAGTGCGGTATCAAGTCATGGCATAGGCATAGGCGCCCACCCATGGCTTATATTTTTGACGGCCTATTTCGTTTTTTCTGGTTAAACCCCTGAGTCATGGACTATGACAAAATTAAGTGATCTATTTGTATTTTGGTACACTGTTTGTTTAGGCCTAAATATAGGCCTAATACAATAATATATAAATATAACATATCAGTCTTTTGTTTTTGAGTATAAACATTTATCTGAATGTTACGACGATCAATGAGGCTAAGTTGATGTACTTGGACTACTGATCTATTTTTGTACGTTTAGGCCTAAATATAGTACGATCAGTCTTTTGATATCGAATATATTGAACATATATATGATACGACGATCACTGCGGTTAAGTCGATGAACTTGTGCATTCTGGTTTAATATCTGTATAATGATTGCATATCTGATAAGATGCGTTAATTTAAGAATAAGGTTAGGCCGAAACAGTTTAACGAACTTAGGCTCCCGTAGTCTTGAGCCTATTTTGCTTGTTTATATTTTATTTTTATATGTCCTCTCTCCTTTTTGGAGATTGTTGAAATAAATCTGTAATTTGAAATTTATTCTCAATAATATCTGGTAGCACTTATAGACGAAAAATGAAGACGTCTGTTATGAATATATCAACCACGGCATATACAGTATGACGATAAAAACACGTACTGACATGAAAAACATGTAGCCAAGAGCAAACCCTGGATTAGATTATCATGCTTACCAAGAATTTTCATAACGTCCTAGTGTGAAGATTTTTAAAATTAATTCAACTTGAAAATCGGAAATTCGGACTGGGCCCCTGAGGAACTGCGGCAGCCGCCGTACAGCGACACCTACAGCACATAACGGG